AGTGAAAAAGTGAGGTTCTTACCCACGAAAGCTTATGCTCCCAATACTTCTGTTAGTCTTAAAGGTGCCACAGGACCCTCTGTTGCTTTTTTACAGATTCAGACTAACACGGCTACCCTTCTGATAAGTATCAAGTGTTTATTTGGATGGCTTTGTGGTTAGAGGATGAAACTCAGATTCTATTCCTAAAATATATTGTCTACATGTCCTGATGTTGCCACAGCCTTCCTTCCCGACTTCCTAGGCAAGTTACTTAATCTTTTTGTGCCTCAGATTATCCCTCTAAAATGGGATAAGAATTCTTACTTCCATCACAGAATTACTGTGAAGCTTATGTTTGTAAAAGTGCATCGAAATCCTCAGATGGAAGGTGCAGTGAGAGTACATAAATGGAAAATATTATTGTTATTTGTTAGGTTTCTGACTATCACTCATGGGAATGAACAAACTAGGCTCTCTCTTTCTTTTAGTGAGGACTATAGAGGATCAGATTAGTTCAAGGGTCTAAAAAAATAGGAAATAACATTAAAAATTACATATGGTGTTACTATAGGATTTCACTACTGTACAGCTGCGAATACTTGGATATTAATTCCTGGCCAAGTAAATGCAAAATAACATCAGTGTAATATATGCACTGAATTTAAGTTGTTACTATTGCTACAGACAGCAAAGCAGAAACAGATGTTAGAGTAGCTAATGGTCTAATTTGTTCTATCAACAGTGTCAACAAGAATTATTGAGCATAGCTGGAGACATAAAAACAATGGGGGGGAGACAACATTTCACAAATTACATTATTTTCAAAAATCTAATTCTACATTTAAAATGCAACTAAATGTTCCCCTCTGCCAACCTGATTTCAAATCTGGCTGCTGAGGTCAGAAGTAACATGAGGTTTCAGACCACCAACACAGTCTCTAGTGTATACTTGTTTACATTGTAAAACTATTGCACAATTTCCCACACAGTGCTCAGGAAAAAGAGAGGTCTGGGACAGTTGCAGGTTGAAATGAGGTGTTTGGCAGAGCTGTGGGGAGAGCTTAACTGCCAGTGTTACTGTTAGGCCCTCACTTTCAGGTGTACCACATTTGTCCCCAAAAAATATGTTTTAGGAGATTGTAGGGCTTGTCTACATGGGGGGATCCACAGCTTTTGAAGTTAATCCACTTTGAAAACGTTTGTGTACACACAACTGCATCATGTAGTGCACTGACTCCTCATGTACTGTGAACTCTGCTGTCTTCTTTCAAAATGAACTAACTTTTCTGTGAAGGAGTTAGTCCAGTCTAGTGTTTGTGTGTAAGCAATAATGCTGCAAATTACTTTGGCAGTCCTTCAACAGCTGTCTCACTCCGCTTTGTGAGGGACCGTTACTGACCTGTCTGTTTACCTGTGTGCCCTCATCAAATTGACCAAGTGTCCCCTCCCCCACTTATAAGCTGGCACAGTGCCAGATTTTGTCCATTCGCTCCTAGATTCCAGTTTGTCACAATACCTGTGATAATACTCCAGAAGCCCCATTATATGCCTCAGGCAGCCACCTGGCTGCATCGAGACCCCGAATCTAACCACTATCTGGAGAGAAACATCAATGCAGGAAGCTCTTGTGGCCAGCCATGAGAATAAAGACCTTTTTGTGGACATTGCTCGGCAGATTTCTCTGAGGGGCCATGACCAGCATACTGAACAGTGCCAGATAAAGAGCAAAGAGCTCATGAGCACCTACATTACATGGAGGGACAACAGGAAAAATCCTTCTGGGGACACGTAACCTGTCAATTTTTATGAGGAACTGAAAGGATTTTGCATAGCTGCATGACCACCCAACCCAGGCAGCTTGTGGAGCCTGCTGGCCACCTTCTCTCTTCCCCTCCACCCCCCCACTCCCAGAGGATGACATGCAAGATACATTGGGGTATGAACATAAAGAGGCCAGTAAAGGGATTTCCCCATAAAGCCAGGATTGGTTCAGGACCCAGGACCCTGATGCTGGCTATGTAGAACATGAGCCCAATTCCTGCACTGTAGCAACCAACCTCAATCCCCAGGCAGCCATCCAGACCAGGACTAAGACTGATCCTATGGAGGGAAACTCAGCATGTAAGTTTTTTTAATTATTTTTTAATGGTTTACTATCTAACTTTTAATTGATGCTGCTGCTGTACTGTTGTACTGGCTTCTGTTCTGGGCGCCCCATGGCCATGGCCATTGATAACCCCATGGTCCCTGCCTGCCAGCCTCCCTAGACAAACATTTACAGGGCCCTCCTAGCCCTGTAAACCTTTCCAAAATGGTTCCTACCCTGGCCAGGTCTCTGTCTCATGCTAAAGCCCCAACTACTGACCAATTTCAGGCCTATGCCATGGAAGACACATGCGCGTGCTCTGATCTCCTTTTCCCCTTCCCTCGGCTGGTAACAGTGAATGCTTCAGGCAATCATTGCAGAACCCTGTCTATTTTTCTTTTCACTTTCTATATGCCTGCAGAGGAGATATCTAAGCACAATCTAAGAGAAACGGCTCAATTTTTGTTCTGAGATTCTGAGGAATAGCTGCACGGCCATCCTCCCTGGTATAGCTAGTGACTCCCTTCTACTCCTGCAGCACTTCTGGAGGGACCATCTTGATGATTAACTTCACAGCGTATCTCACTGGTCTGCCTTTTGCCTTTTTGAATAAGTGGGGGCATTCTCTGCCTCCTAGTCACCCACCTCAGCATAACCTCATCCAGAGTCAGGATAGCCTAAAAGAGATGGAGAAGGGATTACTATACAGCTCACCCCCAGATTCACCCTGCTAACTCCTTTGACACCATATAGGCACCTAAAATGCACAGCAAAACTAGGCAGTGGACTTAATTCCCAAGCCCACCCCCCCAACCCCACCCTCCAAGGAACAATGGCAAAGCCACAGAGACAAAAATCCCAACACAAACACCACGTACCATCTTCCAGGTCCCCCCAAGACTGGGAAGAAATGCAGAGAGGTAAAGGCAGAAACACATTTTAAAAAAAATAGCTATCACAGCCTTCCTAGAATGTGAACAATAACTGCTTGTCATTTCTTTAATACCCCCAACTGCTGTGCACCTGCACTGGTCAGACCCTCAAGGACAGGGCCTTTATCAACAGCAGAATAAATCTGAGAGGGAGATAAGGGAAAAGGTCTGTGGAAATGTTCATGGACATCAATACAAAATCCTCCAAAACCCTCGAAAAATGCAGAGGGGGGAGGCAGTATCTGAGAACTGAGAATGAAACTGACAAGGAGCTTTCTGGGAGATGGTTACAGTAGCAAAGGACAGTGTGGCAATTGCCAGGGAAAGCACTGCATTAGTCAAAGACAGTATGGAAAGAGACAGGGAGATGTAGAGGCAACTCCTGGAGGCAATATAAAGCCAAAATGCCCTGTTGCAGTGCGTATTGCTCTTAGGGCAGCAGGCAACGTTTTCTTTCTGCTGCTTCCAACCTATTCTGCAAACAGCGCCATCTCCCTTTCAAACAACCAAATGCACATTCCACTGTCATTCTGAGGCTACTAAGGTAGTGGGTAAACAGTTCCTTCCTTCCTTCTGTCCAAGTGGCCTAGGAATGGCTTCATTAACCAGGGGAGCAGAGGGTAAGCAGGTCTCCCAGGAGCAATATCCACACCATTAATGTCCATAGTGTTCCCAGGGGCAAAAGATCCTAGAATTGTGGACCCTTCTAAACCATCCTGCTTTTATGTCTGTAACCCTGCCAAAATGGTTGACAATCCCTTGGGAGCACCATGGAGAAATACCCCTGAGCCCTGATTGGGGGCAAATAACAGGCACATGAGTCCCATAAGTTGCCCAATATAGTTTGGGAATCCCTTGCATGTAAAACCATCAATAACCCCCCGAGCGTTACCAAGCTTTATTACCTGGTACAATAGTACCTTTTCCATGGCATCACACACAATGGCCCCAACATCTGATCTCCCCATGCTGAATTGGTTCACAACAGAGCAGGAGCATTCAGGGGTGGCCAGCTTCCAGAGAGCAATAGCGACCCGCAATCTGCCTGTTCACAGGTATGGGGCACTGCATATTGGCATGCTACCACTCTAGTGCTGGAATTAGTTCAGCATGTATCTCACGAAAGGTTGCGTTCCCCATCCTGAAATTCTGTCATCACTGCTGGCTGTCCCAGGTTTGCAGATCAAGCCATTCCCACCAATCTCTGCTGGTTTCCTGAGCCCAGAAACCATGTTGCATACTGTGAAGCTGCTTAAGGAACAAATCCTCCATTGCCAGTTGGTCAGTGTCTTCTTCTTCATACTCATCTGCATCCCAGTTCCACCATCGCTGAGGACGCTCCTGTTGCTGGAGGAGCTGCTGCTGCTGCCACATCATCTGCTCAGTGGTGTGGTAGGCAAAGTCCCAAGTCGAATTCATCCAGCTTTGAATCCTGAAACACTGCCCAAGCAGCCTCTGCACATTTGAGGTTGCCAGCATAGCAGTGCAGGGCATTGTTGGGTCCAGGTTGACTAGCAGTAGTTCAAAAGTGGCACAAGCCTGCCCATAAAGGAAGTACGGGGCAAAGACAGATGAATCATGGGATTTAAAAAAAATGTTGAAGTAGCTTGGCTTCCGCTCTGCATCCCACAAGACAACAATAAAAGTCCCAGAATAAACACCGCTCAGCAGCAAAGCATGGGACTGCCACGCCCTCAGTTTACAGCAAACTGTCGCCGTATGTACACACTGATGTGCATCAACAGAGGATACATCATCCTGTATGCACCCTATTATGCGGCATGGGTATGGTGTGTTACCTGACGCTCAGCAAAAAGTTGCACATTAACTCCTCTTCCCCAACATGTAGACAAGCCCTTAGTCAATAAACCGAAAAGATTTGTAATCATAAGATGCATTTTGACCTCAGATCTCAATTGGAAACATGAAGTCTTATGTCACTTACCTCAAGTAGATGATGGCCAAATACTTCAAGACAAATATTCCTCCCCTGTGTAACTCCACTGATGTCATGGCAGATTGGAAACTAGGTTTTACCGAGGTGGGTTTTATTAAAGAAAACTTTTTGTTTGGGTTTCTGACCATATGATGAACTACAGAACTTTGTAGATTTGGGGCAGAAAGAATCTTTGCATATATACATTTCTGTATAACATCTTACCTTTGGCTATGAGGATGAGTAGAAATTCCTTGAGAAATTGAGGTGAAAGCCATTCTCTGAAGTAATTTAGAATCCATGCTGCTGGTGCAGAAATGGAGCACATCCTTCTTTCCTCAATAATAAAATACATAGACTTGGAAACAACAGCTATCACCGACATGATGGGCCAAATTCATCCTTTGAAGTCAATGTACTCTCTCAGTTCTGAAGTCAGTAGAACTCCACCCTGGAGGATTTTACCTCATTATGTCTGTGATAGGTTTAGTTTTTGAGTCTACATATTTTATTGAGAAAAGAAGGGTAATCTCCACTGCTGTATCTGCAGCACAGTTTTAGTAAGTTGCTTCACAGAATGGCATTGGCCTATGGGAAGTTTAACTCATCTTCCTAGTGAGACCTAAGAAGACACTAGATAAAGGTAACAGTAAGAGATGTTTGAAGAAAGGCGAGTACGAAGGAAATGATTTGTATTTAGAGCTATTGTAACCTTTGCATTTTTGTTTACCTTTACGTCACCAAACATCACTGGTAGGTTGTGTGTTTTAGTTCCTAAATTTAAGTGATAAAGAACATCTTCGTCCATTGAATCCAAATGAGGGTTTTTAACATGAACAAGCCCATTTCTGAAAAAAAGTTTTGAGAGGTTTTATGGACAAGTCAGATCAAACAAAGAAGGGAATTCATGACACAAGAGACAGTATCTGAATATTCGGTTGGTAACTTAGATTCATTGTTAGAATGTTATGCTCATGACATCAGGGCTACGTGTCATAGACCCAACCACTGGGGATGGCGACAGCTTGTCCTCTTCCCAGTCAGTTTTTACTGTTCTGTAGATGCCCCCTTGATGCAGCTGCAGGACTCGAGCACCTTCACACTCACTACTTTCCTCAACATTTTTTATGTAATTGCATCTCTGCTATTGGTCATGTGACCGAAACTGGCAAGTGAGAAGGGGGGTTGTACTAGAGAGCCTCTGATTTCTGCCACTGATATAAAACATGGAGCATGGGGTCTGGTACCACCACCTGTGAGGTGTAGAGTGGGGTGACTGCAGAGGAGTCCATCAGAGAGATTATTGTGTCTCACGAGCAAATCATTACCCCTGTAGGAATGGAGTGAGCTGCGTAGGCTCCTTCCCAAAATAATGCAAAGCGAGAGGAGAAGGAAGAGAATAGGATCTGCAGGGGAAGCAAAAGTGCAGAGGAAGGTACAGATGGGGTAGGAGGACAGAGTGTGGGGAGGTTTTGGGGGGGGATTGGAGTGAAGAAGTAAATAAGGACTAGGGAGAGTAGGATATCATTGGTGGTGGAATTAAAGGAAAAGGGGACAGACCATACAGTGAGTGGAGAGGTGTGAGTGTCAGACAGACAGACTACAGAGTAGAAAGAACAAGAAAGAAAACCTGAGGACTCAAAAGAGGGAGGGAGGGAGAGAGAGAAACAAGAGGAGAGTCAGAGTTAGAAGATGTGGAAAAATCCATTCTGTCAGAACTGAGAAAAGCTCCTCAGGAAGAACCAATGCAAACATCAGGAAATACAGGAGCAACAAGGAAAGAGCTAATGGCTCAATTTAGGTAGGAAAACAAAGGGAGGATGGGAGGCAAGGCTGCCCCATTGCATTCAGCATTAAAGTGCTTGCATACTGCATCTGTTCCAAATAAATTTTTTCCTGGGTTGGTCCTTCCAGACAGCCAGCTGGATTTGGGATTCATAGCCAACTTCTTCCCCACTAACTCCACTAGCCCTTTTATTTAATTCTGAATTGGCTGCAGTGCCAGCATCTGCCTAAAGTTTGCTGCCAAGGCTTTGATGCTGGGTCCCTTCATGGGTTCTAAGCAGCTGACCAGCTCAGACTCCTATTAGAAACTATTTCAGTAGGTGGACCCAGCATTCCCACACTTCCAGTATTACCACTGCAGTCACTGGCTGTTAATGTCTAGGGAAAGTCTTACCATTCTATGTCTTGCCAAAGGCATGTCTCTGGAAATGTTTAATGTAACATTAACCATTTTTTTGCAGCTATTACACAATCTTTAGAATCCTTAAATACTTTGTAACTGTTATCTACATAAAGTTCAGCAAAAAAGTCAATATTTTCCTCTAACCTTAGCAATGGGAAGAACTGTAACTCTTTCTTCAATACAGTTCTCCCAGAATTAATGGATAAATAATGTACTTAAACACTGACTCTATATTATCTTACATACAGGAGTTTGCTGAAATTTTAACAAAAGTTGTGATTTTCATATTGTCCCAACATCTTGATAAATCACTGGGCAATAATCCGCATTTAAAGTAAAGTGAGATTCATAACACAATGGGGTTTCAGTTTGCATTCCTTTTCCAATTGTATAATAAATGCAAGAGGATTAAATAGCAGTGTAGTTCAGTGTTCCAAATAAAAGCTAAAACAAAGCCTAGAAAACAGCTATCTTATCAAAACAAATTCAAAATTCACTCAATTACTTACCCAGCATAACCTTTCCTTTCAGTCATTACTGGAGTCCACTAAAAGGGATGTTATGACTTCCCCCTTTCAGAAAAACACTTCTTGGTTGACACCAGGGAAGGACAACACTCTTCTGTTGCTACAGCTGCTAATTTATAGGATCTAATATGAATATTTGAAGAAGCTTGGCAGTGAGTTAAATACCCTCTTTTCACTTAGTGTTATTCTAAGAACAACAATGGAACTTTTTCTCTTATGTTTTCTAGTCAACCAGTCAGATGCAAAATATTCCTCTTCCTGGAGATTCATTGCTATTTGTTTCAGTAGATCATGGTCAGATCAGTATTCCAGGATTCAGATTGGCTATTTCTGAAGGACTGTCACTTCTCACTTTAACTCACCTCCCATTCTTATGGTAAGGCCTCAGATTGGCTATTTTTGAAGGAGTGTCGTTTCTAACTTTAAGTTACCTCCCATCATTATGCTGAGGTAACTGAAGAGCCAGGCTAGCTAACCTCCTGCCGTTGATATACTTACTCTTTGATCAGGGGCCCTGGTTCTCACACTTGGCAGTCATCCCAGCATGAGGCTCATGTGGCACATGTATATTCTGAAAACAAAAGGGGTGGAGAATACAAATTGTCTGCCTATTTTCATAATTCCATAGGGTTCTGTTGAAAATGCATGTAAGATACATGTGAGAGCCAGAGCCAGGAGAACCTAGATGTTTTTGGATCACAAGGATTTGTGCAAACTAGTGCTGGTCAGAAATGTTTGTGTGGCAAAACATTTATAAGACATGCATCTATTTGAAGAAAGTTTGTTTGGAAAGAAAAAATTGAAGAACAGCACTTTGATAAGGTTGAAATGGAATGTTTCAATTCTTCTGTAATGGGACATTTTGATTTTCTGTTTCAAAATTACTTTTTGTTTCAATTGCTTAATTTTCTATAATATAACACAAAATAAAAGTTGAAAACAGAACAAAAGGTTTTGATCACCCCAAAATGAAACTGTTTTCAGAATTTTGTTTCATGGGAAATTGTGAATTTTTTTTCTTTTGTTCGGTTTTGGAAGTGGAAAAAGAAATTCAATTCCCAGCACTCCCTGTGAAACGAAAAATCTGGTCCCTGCCATTGTCTAATGCAAAGCATTAGATTTGATTTTAACTGATGATGGCTCTCATCTCCTGAGCTTTGCTTCCATGTGCAAAACACCCCAAATTCTCAAAATTGGTTTTGAGTTGTATTATGAAACCATTATTCCATTCAGCACAATAATAAATCACTCCATGTTTTCTCAAATGGTTTGTGAACAGAGAGTAAACCTTTTGATAAATCTGCTCTGGATTTCAAATTTTTAACAGAAGCCTGAAGCAAAACAGAGATTTCAGACTGGACTCTGAACATTTCAAACAGCTCCCATGGCACAACTCTTTTTATACTCCTACCAAAACTCTTCCCCCATTTTTGTTTTTGTTTTGTTTTGGTCGTCTAAATCATTCATAGAGATAGAAACCTATTTTGTATTATCTTGGCATTTCCTCTTTGGATTCTTGACCAGGGCTTTGGCACAACAAAAGAAGAGCTTGCTCACAGAGAATCTGCCCTAGGTTTTACGCTGAGCCAGTGCATGCTGGGGAAGGACAGTGGGAGTGGGGTGTGAATACTCATGCAGTGCGGACGTGTTTGATAAAGCCTAGTTATGTGTCTCACTGCTTTGATTTAAGGAGCTTTGTTGCTTGGGATGCAACAGTGTTCAAGTGAGTATTTTAATATCTGGGCTGTGTTCCGAATTTTGTTCATGCAGATGTAAAATAGAAGTCTGGTATGAAATGAGCATTTCTGGGGCAATGGGAACAAGAATTTTCTGTTATTCGGCCCTCTGGCTGTGGAACTGGCCAGATTCACCTGGTTGACTTTAGTGACTAGAAAGCATCTTTATTATTATTTATTTGTATTGTGCTAGCACCTAACAGCCCTAGTCATGGACCACATCCCCACTGTGCTAGGTGCTGTACAAACACAACAAAAAGATAGTTCCTGCTTCAAAGAGCTTACAGTCTAGGGCTGATTCTGCCACCCCTACTCAAGTTCCATTCCTTCACTGAAATGTCTCATGGGAGTGAGTATTGCAAGACAGAGTCCCTAGGGCAGTTTGAGGCTTGGTTCCAATAAATGCTAAAATTGCAGATCCTCATCTCATCCACATTACAGCCACCTGAGTGAGTCTCACAAAACCAGGCTCTGTTACAAAGTATCTACTACTGCCTGTTTCCGTAATGATATAATTTTCCCAGGAGAGGAGGAAGTGAACTGAACATCTCAAATCATTCAGAAAGGAGTAATAGAAATTATTCCCAAACTATGCTGGTTTAGGAGAGATTAATCCATTGGTGCATTGAGGTTAACACAGAAACACTTTCGGTACCAATCTGCAGCTGATTTTAGCTATTTATGTTTTAAAAGATTTTCTAACAAAAATAAAAAAAATAAAAACATAATCAATAGGAATGATTGATCACTATCTATTCAAACATTGCTTGTAATAAGTTACATTGCAAAACACCCTAGACACTTCTAGAGGACACTATAGATATTTATAGGAGAAACATCGAGCAAAGAAAGAAATGTTGACAGCACTTGAATCTATTTGAGATGGCTGTGCACTGACTTTTCCAACATGTGTACTGTCTTTTAGGAACATGAAAAAAATAAACGGAGGGTGCTAGGGCTGCTGCCTAGAACGAGCTCCTCAGAGTCTGTGGTTACATGCAATAATTTTTAAAGTGGTTTTAAGTATTGATTGGAGGGGCCCAAAGCTCCCATTTGGCATTTACATCTAGCTGTGGCAGATGAAAGTATTGGCTAATTAGATAAGTGTTAGGTAATTAATTACTCCAGTGAATTAAACTGGAGTAACTAATTAACATGTGTGATTCTGGTGCAGATTTTGTTAGCCAACACTTTTGATCTGCAGCAGTCACAGAAAACTCGGTGTGAGAGTTATATGCCCTAGGTAACAGCGCTCCTGGTTATTATGGCAAGTGCTTGTTATCTTATTGAGAGATCCCCATAAGGCTGGGTAGAAAATCTGAGCACAGCAGCTTTTGCCTATGTCCTCCAGAGACTGGTCATAGCTGTTGATCAGAGGTGACTGGTAAAGCAGTAGGTGTTACCAGGGCTGTTTTTTAACTACTATAAGAATATGTGCAAGCTGCAGCCATCTCTTTCGCAGGCAGATCCGGCACTCATGATAATTCCTCTGTTATACTATGGCAAGATGAACTGCAATATGCTCTCTGGTGGATCACCAAAACAGCAGATCCGTCACCAGCAGCTCTTACAGCACATAGTAGCTGTGCTGCTGTCGTAGGCAGTGGTGGTTTTGTCTTCCTACCACTGGCTTTACTTCTGCGCTTTGACTGTGTGGCCACAACTTCAGTATTAGTTGAATATTTTGCCTAACTATTAAGGTCCTCAGATAGCTGGGCTGGGTCCCACGGTTCTTTCTGATCTTCTGCTTCATTCTGTAAAAAGAACAGGAGTACTGGTGGCACCTTAGTTATCACTCTGGTTGTGGCCACAGGGAATAGAGCTTTTGGCCCCTGGGATTGGTACAACCAGGAGAGTTACTATAGGCCTACCTTTCTCCTCTCCCAGTGCTGTGAAATGCCCCTGCCTTTCTTTTGATCTATAATTAACCAAGACATTGGTCTCTTTTAAAATGGGTTTAAAGGCTTTTTCATGTATGTGGTGGTTTTATTCTTGTACAATAGTCAGTTAACTTGCACTTAAAAAAAAATCGAAGTATTATGTAATCATCTGGCCATTCAGATGAACCATCATTCCCTGTTAAAAATACATTATGGGTGGCATGATTTTTGTAAGTAATAAAATCTAAGCTACAATTTCATATATCACCCACTCATTCATCCAAGGCTAGTTCTCATACACGGCTCAGATGTTTTATTTTCCTAGCTTATAAAAAGTAAAAAAACACTAAATAGCTGGAGTAATTATGGAACAATGTGTATGAAGAGAAGTAACCTAATAACATATTAACCTAGTAGACTGAGTTCAGATCATCTATTAAGAATCCCATGGAAGCTTGAGAATATTGATCTCCAGGGCATATGCTTCATATAAAGTCTTGCCTTGGAGTGGAGAACATATGCTACTGAAGCTGCTCTAGCCTTAGGTGCACTTCCAGGATGTCGAAACAAGGCACAGTTTGGACTGAACTGGGTTGTAAGAAAGAAGATTGAAAAGACAAGGGGAAAAAGTCCTAGAGCAGAATTCTGCTCTTGGATATGTGTTTGGTGACCTTTGACTTGACTGTCCCTTTTTCAGATGATAAGCAAAGCACATCTGCAGTGCGGCAGCTAAAACAGAAAGAGTCTATGTTCAGATCTTTGTTTTATTTAAATCCTGGTGTAACAGAGTCCTTGGTGGTTCATCTGTCAGGGTTGGGGGAACCTGACCATGCCCAGTTAGCTACATTGGGTGGTCACAATAGTGTCCCACTTACTCACTATTTGCAGAGGGGTTCTACCCTTTGTGGGCCTCCTTAAGTCTCTCTGGCTGGGGGATCAAAATGAAAGTCACAAACCACGACGTGTTCAGGGATACTCCCTCTCTGCAGTCAGGGCTGGCTCCAGCTTTTTTGCCGCTCCAAGCGGTGAAGAAAAAAAAAATTCTTCAGCAATTTGGCGGCTGGTCCTTCCCTCCGAGAGGGACCCGTCACTGAATTGCCGCCGAAGATGCAGACGTGCCGCCCCTTTCGATTGGCTGCCCCAAGCACCTGCTTCCTGCGCTGGTGCCTGGTGCCTGGAGCCTGCCCTGTCTGCAGTCCCAGCAAAGCATTATACAAAGGTGAGTAAGCATTATGAGCCAATATTACAGAAACTCATACATTATGTGACTTACCCTCGGTAAGCTGGATGGAGCTTGTCCTAACTTCTTGTTAAAGTTCCAGTCCCCAAATGATCAAGATAGCTATATCATGGCAGGGCTTGGGAGATTTCTCACGTGATGGAGCTCTTCCCTCTCTGGATACTACTAAAATATTCCTGCCTCAGATGACTTACTTCTGAGCCTCTCACATACTCATGAAGAGCAAGATTTTTGTCTTTGGAATGCAGCAGTTTTCACTGATGGGTATTTAAAAAACATTCCCTGAGGAGTCTATGTGCATCTTTCTCCCCCAATCTTAAATTGCAGAAGTCAATCAACATAATCAGTACACTTCTCAGAACAAAGCTATAAATGTTTCAGGCACTTTCCACTTAATACAGTGATTGCCATTAAAATCTTTACAGTTTTGCTTAATTAACATTACTTGATAGAAGGAATTCAATAGTAATGTTACTTGCAAATAGCAGTTGTAAAGATTTTAATGGAGATGAGATCACAGTATAAGCTTGCCAAATGGG